GTTCGTTCGAAAGCTGCTCAATGTCTTAGCTCTAATGTAGTGTTTTATAGAATCACAGAATATCCTGAGTTGGTTAAGACCCATAAGCATCAAGTCCAACCCCTACTCTGCCCAGGACACCCCAACAATCCACCCTGGGCCTGAGAGCATTGGCCAAACACTCCTGGAGCTCTGTCAGCCTTGGGGCTGTGACCACTGCCCTGGGCAGCTGTTCAGTGCCCAAACACCTCTGGGGGAAGAACCTTTGCCTCATCTCCAGCCTAACCCTCTCCTGACACAGCTCCAGCTGTTCCCTGGCTCCTGTCCCTGGTCCCAGAGAGCAGAGATGGAGCTGTCCCTGTACTTCCCTCACTAGGAAGTTGTATGCAGCAATGAGGACATAAAAGTTTCATGGTTTGACAGCAACTTTCCATCCAGACCCTACACCAGACTAAGACAAAGACTTAAAACTATTTTTTTCTCTTTGAACTCTACAGCAGCTATTCAATTTAATCCTTAGAAAACTTTCCATCCTTCACCTCCCAAACATGCTATAGAATAAAACAGCCCATTGAGCTCTAACCCAGATATTTACATTGCTTTTAAGACTGTGATAACTCAGAAGCCTCAGCACAGACTTGGCAGTGGTTTCCCTCACTGCAGAGTGCCAGGAGGCTCTTTGGCTAAAAAAGATCAGATATTTTAGGAAAGCCACAGTCAGTTATATATTCCTGCAATCAGCTACAACAAAGGGTTTCATTCTTCTTGGAGGGATATCAGACTTGCAAAGGGAAAGCAGTAAAGTTTACAATCATTACCCACAGGAGCAGGAACAGGAGTAGATTAGGAGTCGATCGCTGGATCCAGGCCCAGCAGTCAAGAGGAGCCAAGAGCCAAGGGAGGGTTTGGATTACTGCTCAGGGCTGAGAGATTGGGCTTGCATGGGAGAAAGGTCAAACAAACTCTAACCAGGATGTGATAAACTTTTGGGAGTACTGGACTCTGACCTCAGGTTTGAAACAAAGCTCAGGTACAAGGGAGACAATGTGAACTCAATGCCCTCAGTCTGTTCAGGTTGCTGCTGCAGGGGCCAAAGCAGAACTCAGCAGGGCCCAAAGCAGGGCACACCACCAGGGCTGAGCAGGGCCCAAAGCAGGGCACAGCACCAGGGCTGAGCAGACATTGGACCTTCCAGTCACTTCAAGAGCACAAGGATGGGTGTGAGGTTTCTGTTTAGCAAATTTTGCTAATTTAAAGCTAAGCTCTATTCCAATGTCAGCTTACTCAAGACACAAATGATTCCTACACAGGGAAGTGCTAGGGATAACTGCTCTGGGAGAAGTGTTCAATTACAACTCTTAGGCTGCTGTTGAGGTGCCATGGGAAGTACATCTCCTGCTCAAGCTCCCTGGGAGGACAGACACAGCACTCTGTAACTGGCACAGAGACGACAAAACCATTCCAAGCCTTCCCCTGTTCCTTTCCCAAGATCCCAAGCTCATCTCACCCCACCCCTACTCTTCTGGAGGAGAGGGATGGCCCAAGGGCCACCACTTTACCTGCTGCTGGGAGTTGTAGTCGAAGAGCCCCACGGTGGCTGCGGCCGAGTCCACGGGAACTTGAGTGCCGGAGTAATCGAACTGCAGAGGCTCCATGCCCACGTGCTCCATGGGATCCAGGGGGACACTCTGGGACTCCATGTTGGAGAAATCTTCCACTGGCTTGGCACCGTTAGTACTTGCCAGCTGGGCTAAGCCCTCGGATCCATTCTGGTTTGGGCCCAGCAGATCCACTTCGCTGGCAGAGTTCTGGCAGTTCCCAGGTGTGCGGCTGTGGGGGAGGACAGGGACTCAGCACATGCAGCACTGCTGTGGCACAGCAGCACCAGCACTCACCAGAACTGCTTGGAAGGGTTGTGATAGAGTAATAGCACATTAAGGGGTTGAAATGGAGCTTAGAGGTCACCCAGCCCCAACCCCCTGCCCTGGGCAGGGACACCTCCCACCAGAGCAGGTTGCTCAAGGCTTTAGCCAACCTGGCTGTGAACACTGCCAGGCTTGGG